ATGACTCTGTCTCTGATCACATGACTCCATCTCTGATCACATGACTCTGTTCTTGCTCCTTAACTGTGGAACTAAGAGACAGACCTGCACATGTTTGTACCGGCGGTTTATAGTGGGTGGGTGGGGACTCAGCAGAGCTGCGCCTGCACCGGCAACCCAGAGCAGGGTGGGGGGAGAGAAAAAAGCCGAGCTGCGCGGGTGGCGGGGAGGGAGAGACAGTTGAGCTGTCACTTTCTGTACCTGCAGTTTAGAGCTGGATGGAGAAACGCAGCCGATCCGTGTGTTTGTTTTTAGGATTTTAGATAGCTAGTATTGTGCGCAGCTAGTTACACTAGTACCGACAGGTGTTTTGGCACGCTCGGTTCTGTTAACAGGGCGGGGCAAACACTGACATACTTAAGTCATGAAATTAGCATATCACGATATAATTTATTTTCCCGGGAAAGCTTTTTTTACCCGCATTCTTGTGAACGATATGATATGGCCCAGCCCTACTCATGTCCATGTAAACATAGTTAATGTTAGGCTGATGGTCCTCCATAATGTGAACTGCTAGTTTTGAATGTCAACAACAAACTGGTTGATCCACTATAAGAAGGTGCTACTTATAAGACTGAGTTTATTACTGCTTCTCAGATTGAAGAAGGCTTTTTTGGATTAAAGATGAAACGTTTTAACAATTTTGTTTTTACTTGTCCAGAGGACCGGACTTAACTTTTTAAGATCATCTACAGAAACTCTATGTGGAATGTGTCATATATATATATATATATATATATATATATATATATATATATATATATATATATGTATATGTATGTATGTATGTATGTGCAACAGACATTTTTATCCAAAGCAAAATCCTCCCAAGGGAACCTAATAAAGGCACTTTGAATTTTGAAGACCTTTTGTAGTGAAGGAGACCGGCTCATAGTAGCGTATCTGTGGTGACACAGAATCTGTCTGAGGCTCAAACCATCCAGGAAGAGTTCAACTGTGAGAGGCTCCCGAGGGTCTGCTGGCAGCTCCTACCACAAACAAAAGACAAACCTGTAGTCACATGCCTCTTTACCAATGTACTTAAAAATGTATCTCTCAAACCACATTATAAAAAAATAACAGCTGTTGGTCCACTACCGTATTTTTCACTGTATAAGTCGCATTTTTTGCATAATTTACATGCCCTGCGACTTATAGGCCGAAGTGACGTGTTTATGGATTTTTTTCCCATATTTATAAACCATTTTTGGTTCAGATATGACCGTTTTCATTCATTCTGAATGAAAAAAAAAATTGAACAGTACCATTATTAGCTACTTGATGGCAGCAGAGTAGTAGCAGTACGGCATGCCGTAGTATCATGTAATTGGTAAACGTGGCTATAATGACAAATTCAAAAAAAGGGGACGATAAAAACAACTGGACTTTATTTATTATACTTTATTGTTTTTGTCTTGAATTTTTTTTTAATTTACCATTTCCTGGATAACTGAAACTCTTCACCAGCTTTTAATGACATAATCAGCCTGCCATAGCCTTCAACCTTCGTTCTGCTCGCTGCTTGGAACCGTCAAACCAGCTGCACTAATACGGCGAAATGCAGCTAATTAAGACCATTAAAGTGCATTTATTAAGTCAAAGTTCAACTAACACACACCTTTGCTATAATTTCAAACAAATAATTGTTTTAGGTGTTTTTCTTGTTAAATTTCGAAGAAACGAGCAGCATTCCCCCTTCCTTTTTTCCCTCCATCTGCACGCTCCCGGAGCATCGAGGCAGCGAATACTTTTAAAATACAACTTCTTTGACCATTGAAGTCCTTTTATTAAGCAAAAGTTAGACTGAGATGCACCTTTACTTAAATTTTGAGCAAACAAATAATTGTTTTTAAGTGTTAATTTCTCGCTTAAGTCCTCCCGTGCACGCTCCCGTGGCCACCATTTGGCAGACCATCGATTTTTGGCACAACACCGGTCCACATTTCCGGGTGCGCCCCACATTTTCAGATTGTCAGCGGTGAAGCGTAACAAACACGACACGTCAGCGGTGACGCATACTAGATGCAACGTTACGGTGAAGCAACATATTTGTGGATTTTTCCACTTTTTTAGATATATTTGGACTGATGCGACTTATAGGGCGGAGCGACGAGTACAGCGGAAAATACGGTAATTGTTTTTAAGATTCTTGTTAAATGTTAACCAACTGTGGATATTCTGGATTTAACATAACCAGATGAACTGATGAATTTAGAGTACAGAATGTTCATACAAGTGTGATCAAGTTGTTTTTACCACAACTTGCAGGTCCACAGAGCGGTTCAGCAACACTTCCCTCATCAGGGCGACTGCATCTCTTTGCCACTTATCACCGACCTGGACATGCAGAGTAAGAACAAAAGATCCTGAGTGGTTTTATGTTTGAAAAGTCTTATTACAAATCTGTAAGAGTTAATATGAGTCACAAATAGCAGAACGATAAACTAAGGCCTAACTGAAAAATCATACATGATGAAGGTTTTGTGCATAATTGTCTAATATTTGAACTTCACAATTAAAATTATGTTCGTAAAATATGACTCCACAACTTAAGCTATTTTGATCTGCTAACTTAACCCACCAAGATTAAAAACAATCTAAATGAGGAATGGTTTTATTAAAATGCATATTGGTTATAAATTCCACTGTAAAGCCAAATTACCAGATTCTTCAATGTTTTTTTCCAGCTCAATGATTTGAACTGGGACTGGAAAATCTAGCCAAAAGGCCAGAAAATAAACTATTAAACTCTCACGCTACTTAACCAGGCATGAATGAAGAAAAAGTTCTGATGTTTTAAGTGCTGAGAAAAACCAAGACATAAAACATTTCAACCAAGCTGAAATAGAGGATGACGCAACTACATGTTCAGTATGTACCTACCACGTTAAATTTATCTACCTGGATTATGAAGCATGCATCAGGATACATGTTCAGTATCTCACATCAAATAAACCCCAACTTTCATGAGCTGAACTAAAAGATCTAGGACATTTGTATGTACACAGTAGGCCTTTTTCTCTCAAACATTGTTCACAAATGTGTGTAAATCTGTATTAGTGACCACTTATTCTTCGCCGAGATAATCCATCCACCTCACAGGTGTGGCATATCATTATGCTGATTAGACAGCACGGTTAGCACGCAAGTGTGCCATAGGCTGACCACAATAAAACGTTACTCTAAAATGTGCAGCTCTACTGTATTGGGGGTGGGAGTGTCAGAAAACCAGTCAGTATCTAGTGTGACCACTATCTGCCTCGCAACACATGCCCTTTGCATAGTTGATCAGGCTGTTGAATGTGGCCTGTGGCGCCACTGCTCGCCGTCCATCACGATCCATGTTGTTTATTACCTTGTGTTGAGCATAATTATGGATGTCAACTCTGTTGGTGTACAGTCGTAAAACACAGCTAGATCTTCATCTTTACACCAAAAACCTTGTGAAGCATGATTTTATGAAGCTAAAGCTTTGCCCCCACATCTTTCAAGGATTCAAACTTTCCTCTACTGTGTCCAGGTGCAATCTCTCCGGTGTAGATGTACCGTCAACACGGTAAGAGTAGCGGTCAGCTGGTGAGGAGAAAAGGCTGCTCTGGAACACTTGCCCATGGCTTTTTTGAAGGAGAATGGGGTGGTGCCTCCCATCATCTTTTCTCTGCATTTGCAGGATCCTGTCGGTCAGTGTTGTAGTCAAGACCACCTAACCCGAGACCAATTCAAGACCAAGACCAGAGTGTACCGAGACCGAGACAAGACCAAGACTTTTGGGGTCTGAGACCAAGTCAATACCAAGACCTCAAGTCTTGGAGCTCAATCATCTTAGACTATACTGTCATGACACAGTGACAGTTTTAACAAATATGTAAAAAACATATGTAAATTTTATTAAAATATTCTTACAAGTTAAATACAATACTATATCAGTAATGTATCAGCTTTTATAAATTTTCAAAGGTACAAAAAGAAATCAGACATTCAGTGTTTTTTGCACAATAATTTTTATGTCATGTGACCCACTGAAACAAAACTAATGTTAAACTTTACTAGGTCTAACAGACAAGGCACCCTCATTTATTTCTCTTTTTGAAGCATTTTCTAATTTTACATAATTTATTTGTTCAAAAATCATGTTTTTTGCTCAATGACTAATTAGAAAATGCTTTAAAATGAGAAATAAATTAAGGTGTCTTGTGTGTCCGGTCTGTTAGAGTAGTTTAACATTAGTTTTGTGTCTGTGGGTCAAATGATGTAAAAGATATTTGACTGATGAAGCCTTCTGGATCGAAGGTGAAACGTTTCAGCACAAAAAAAAGAAACTGTCCAGATAACGTGACTGAAAAATGTAGGATTGTATACCTGGATTATTGAGCATGGACTTTGTTATATTAATTTTTGTTTCTGAATAGTGTTTGTTTCGGTAATTTGTTGACGGTCCCTAAGCAAACAATTATTGTCTCGGAGGAGGGGCAGACTGAGCGCAGCTGACTGAAATCAGACTGCCTGCTTCAGATCGAACGAGAGGAACACACCGCTGAAGACACGGAGCTCCAATGTCCAACATCCAACGTAAAACTAATTTCACTGCGGTAGAGAATTGAGGCTCCAGCAGCACAAACAGTTCAGAAACAATTTAAAATGAGTGAAAAAAGCTTTTTATTAAATGATTATCAATCAACCTTTATTTCTACAGGTAAATCCCATTGAGCCTCGAGGACTCATTTACAAGAGAGACCTGATTTCAACAAAGAAAGATGACAACAATGGACAACAGCAACAACAATAAACAGTTATAAAAATCATACTACAGTTTTTTTTTTTTTTTTTTTTTTTTTTTTTTTAACAAATAGGATGGCTAAAAGGAAAAAGGTAACAAAACAAAAAACAGCTAGATTCCAAGACAAATGTAGAAAACTAACAACAGGAACATGTCTGCATTGGACCCTGCCAGGAGTCCAACAGATTCTTAAAGACACTTAGAGAGGTCAAAGGTCGAGAGCTTCAAATCTTTTTGTAAGATATTCCAGGAAACAGGAGCGGAGTAGGAGAAGGCCCTTTTGCCTAGTTCAGTCCTCATTGAGGGAACACTGCAGGTAATAATGTCCTGAGAGCGCACGCTGTAGCTGCACTCACACAGAGACATGTAGGAGGAGATGTATGAAGGCAGCAGACCAATTAAGATTAATTAATTAATTAAGATTAAGTCGTGTTTTAGACTGCTCATTGCTAGAGAATCTATTCTGACCTAAAGTGCAGCCGTGACTGGTTCTCAATGAGGCTTTACAGCAGACAGCCGCTCCCCGCTCCTCCAGGTACTGCGTACCAGTGCAGAATCTTTTAGTGGTACACAGTACCGGCCCGGACCGGCTTACTTTCACCCCTGGTTGCGACGTTACGTTGTCTGTACTGTTCTGTTGGTACAGAACCACATGCGAGTGAAAGGGGGTGGGCGTGACAGCAGTAACAAAAATATGTATTTAGCAATGAGTCACGTCATCAATTCGATTTCAATCAATACGTTTTGCATCCATTAAAAACAAGGATGTTAACAAATAAACTGGACAATATTCTGGCAATTTAGTGATATTTCTACAGTTGTGGTCTTGAAATAAAATCCTGAGTCCTCAATATCAGAGACCGAGGCAAGACAGAGACCATCAAAAAGTGGTCTTGAGACCGGTCTTGGTCTACAACACTACTGTCGGTACCTGTCGTTACCTGGGATGGGGCGATTCCCTGGCCCAGTTGACCCAGTTCTTCTGGTTCTCGCAGGAGTGGGGTGAATCTGCAGAATCTCAGCCTGTATCAGGCCTCCAGGATGGCTAATGATGCTGAACTGCTGGTTCCTGCCAGGATTGGCTTGGTACACACTAGATCACTAGCAAACAAAATGTTTGCTACTTGCGCTTTAATGAACTTTTAAACTGCACTTCTGCACATCATGCTGACTTCCATGGAGGAAGATGAGTGAGGGGACTTGGGGGTTGCTCTGTCCATAACCATGGCTGAGGTTGCAGAGGTAGTTAAAAAGCTCAGTGGCGGCAGGGCTCTTGGGGTGATGAGATCCGCCCTGATTTTGTTAATGAATCAGAATCAGAAGAAGAAGCTTTATCATCATTGCACCGAGATACAACAAGAATATGTCCGTACAGTCGTCCGAAAGATGGGCGGAGTGCACATAGCTGCTGCTATAAAGCGCAGCCTTCTTATCCTTTTCAGAATGATTTTGACCCGTTCTGTTCCGGCAACTCTTTGATCAGATCCGTCAACTCCGCCCCGAAAAGTCCAAAGTCACTGTACATTTTTATTTTGTTTGTTTATTTAAAAAAAATACGAGAGGAGATGTTGCCTTTAGCTCGGCTGACCCAGTCTGAGGATGTTTCAGCCACAACAGGTGCAGCGCAGTTACACGCTCCTTCAAGGAGCATGAGAGGAGCCTCTGGGGGGGGTGAGGACCGAGGGACAGATGGTCTTACGCACAGAGATTCTGCGCAAAGTCCTTCTCTGCTCTCCAAACATCGTCCTTACTCAGCGGTGCTGCGCACTGAAAAACACCCTCTCTCCTCTCAGACCCCGACACAGAAACAATCATTTATTCAACAGAATATACAGGTCCTTGTCAAAAAATTAGCATATTGTGATAAAGGTCATTATTTTCCATAATGTAATGATAAAAATGAAACTTTCATATATTTCAGATTCATTGCACACCAACTGAAATATTTCAGGTCTTTAATTGTTTTAATACTGATGATTATGACATACAGCTCATGAAAACACAAAATGCCTGTCCCAAAAAATTAGCATATCATGAAAAGGTTCTCTA